GCCTGCAAACTCCATTCCCCGCTATAGCTTCTAAAGTGGACAAGGGCAAAATGAAAGCTATTGACGAAATAACTCGGCGTTTATTGGACTGGTATGCTAGCGAAACCAAAGCATATACAACAATTCCTCACAAGTTGTCCAAAACCGACCCATTTCCTAAACAACGATGGGGCGATTTAGTGACATACTTCGACGAAGCACGAACACACTACAAGAATTTAACAAAAGGTGATTCAAACACTCCTACATCTGGGCTATTTTCGAGAAATGACAAATCCAAAGTTCGCGGAGGACCAGAAGAGTTCTCATTCGTTCACCACAAGGTGTTACTTCCGTTGACACTGGAATTCCATCTTAAGTCCAGAACAGTCGAAATTGAGCACGTCGCGTGTGAACTTGCTAAAAAGTATGCTTGCAGTAAGACAAAATCCCTCAATGATGAAGATGTGGAAGCAATCACTGGTGAAGACGATTCATTAAAACGATCTTTCAAATCCTTCTACACTCGTTCGTTTACATCTACCAATAAAGGCATGCATCCTAAATGTTCAAGTGCGAAGAAAGATTGCGTTGAACACGTCAAAAAAGCTTTGCAAGACATCAACAAACTCCGAAAAACAAAAATAATTGGACTTTTCGAATACCTAAAAAATCAAGGTTTAAACAAAGGAAGCGCTCTTGGTTCAATGGACCACGAACTACTTCAGATGACTGGTTTTCTGCATTCAGTGTTCTTGATGAGAAATTATCTCAAATCCGACACCATTGACATGATGAAATGGTATGTGGAGTTTGGAGAGGTTTATCAGAAAAAATTTGAGTTCAAGGGCAGTACAGCGGACAGGATAAGAAGTGCAATGTTGTATCGTTTGATGACGGTTCTCGCAATGCCTGAAAAGAATGACGCCCAAAAAAGAGAAAAAATTCGGGATATGGACGCATTTAAAAGATGGGTCGAGAACGCTTTGGATGTCACTGAAGGACTTTCAGGCCTTGTTAAGCCAGACTACACAGTTTTCCACCACAAGACATTTTACGCCTCTGCTTACGGGCCACAAGCATTGCATACCGTTGCGTTGGTCTCTTATTTGCTGGAAGAAACAGCATATGAGTTGAAAAGTGAAACAAAATTAAATATAATCGACTCTTTGAAAGTCCTACGAATTGCCTCGGTTCGTTATTCAACACCCAGTCAGGTTGGTGGGCGGTTCCCAAAATATAACAAAGCCGTTCTTACTGAGATCGTACCAGCTTATGCTTATATGGCCATGAAATCTCCTTTGAAAGAAAAGGACAAATATAATAATCCTAATTTGAACATACATTTGGCGCAAGTCCGCATGTTTCTCCGTCTCTATACCCCGGTCCCCGGAACCTGTGAAGGTAATTTAAACAGCCGCTTGTGTAAGGGTACACCATCTCGTATTTACTATTTAAACACACTGGGATCTTTGGGAATCATGGAAATGGTGAAACGCCTAGCCTCCACGTATAAAAAGGGGCCACAAAAATGGTACTACCGCGCCGAAGACTCGCCAATTGGGCATTGGTCGAAACAGTTTGGGTCGTTGAGCATACATCGCCGGGATGATTGGGCAGTTACCGTGAAAGGTTTTGACAAGTTCGTTTGGGATTTCGAAAGTGGCAAGGATAATGTCTATGGTATGTACGGCAGCCACGGTGCCATGTTAATAGCAAACAGCGAGGCGGCTCTGAACTCGAAGGACATAGACAAGGGATGGGACTGGAGAAAGATTCCCGGTACGACTGTTATGGACGTGCCCTATGCAGACATGGCTACATACGCTCAAAGTAGCTCGCGTCAGTACAATCCGTCCGTCAATGCCATGGCCGGTGGTTTATTCCTTCATGGAAGTAAATCGAAGATGAAGTTTAGAAACGGCGTTTTTGGCATGGACTTCAAACAGCCCACATATGGGGGTAAGAAGAATTCACCTTTTTCCAAGCCGCTGAATTTCCTCTTCAAAAAATCAGTTTATTTTTATGACGATATCATTGTATCCCTTGGTTCTGATATCAAATATTCTGGTGGAAAATATGAAATTCACACCACGTTGTTTCAAGATTTAATGCCAAGTGCCAGTTCTCCAGCAACAAAAGATACTGCTCCAAATATCTTTCATTGCAATGCTGGTGGGCCTCTGAAAAAAACATCTTGGTCAGGGATAGAACTTGCAATATTGGTGGACGTTAATGGTAACAGGTGAGATAAATAGGAATTTCTTTTTAGACCGAAGCCTTTTATACAGACAGGATCCGTAAGGCGAGGTTTGTGAAAAATTTCGCGGTATTGACCAAGCAAGCGAGGTCAATAAAATGGTCAGTATGGGACATCAAGGGTGCATAAACTTGCATTGAAGAGAAGGGAAAATGTATGAATGTATACATTATTAGAAGCGCGGCGCGCATTTGACGACGAAAACCACAAAATTGCATTATTTTTACCTATTTGCAGACATATTATTGATCGCAATAACCTCTTTATTTTTCATCTCGTGATGGATCGTCAGCCCATTACGCGAAAGTAATGAACCGCAAAAAATTTTTCTCATCTAATCGCAAAGCTCCGTTTCACCGGAAGTGCATGTACTCGGTTTTCGATATAAAATGCATAGCGCCTAGAATTTAAGAGTCTTCTGCTGCATATTGCATGCAAGACTGCAGTTCTTAGTTTTATTATATACTTAGTAGGTTTAATAACTCAGAACCCCTCAGGGAATAAGATTGCAGCAAATTATAATTATTATAATAATTTATTATTATAATTTCGCAGGTAATTCCATGCATGCAAGGTTTTTCTTGTCTAACATAATTTACACGAAAAAAGTAACACCTCGTTTGTTCCCGCGAGATTTTACAGGTGGTATGAGTATATTAAAAACCACATAAATTATATAAGGTATTTTGCCTTTTCCAACGGTCTTAACAAATCTTATATTTGTTAGGTATTATGTTCCAAAGCCTGACCAACAGCGCTTGGTTCTCCATCGAAACCAAAGACAGGATTCTATTAAGGGAAAAAAAGCTACACCTGATCCAACACACGGAACGTATTGTACTGCGTGGTTCAATCACGGTAAAAATCCGTCAAGAAAGACTGCTAAATATCAATATGCCGTGCACGTAGGGGCAGAGACAGTCAAAGGTCAGACGAAACCGCTGTTCAAGCTCAATGATCGATATAGTGTATTAAAGCAAGGGGCGAATAGACATATTGTGCATTTTAAAAAGCACAGCGGTAGAGGTGATGTCTACGCTTATGTTGTGTTTCAAACAGGGCGTACAGTAGGATTAGGACAAACCGGTCCTATAGAATCCGTGAAACAACAGAGTATTATAATGGCAGAAGAAACGACCAATCCTAAAGCATTGTACATAAGCGTTAAATCTCCCCAGTTGAAGCTGGAAGAGATAAAAAATTCGCCATCTTGGTGCAAAGGTGGAACGACTACACCTTCAAAGAACGGCGACGTCGACGAAACATTGCTTTACTGCTCGAGGAGCGCTGATCAATCCATACAACTCAATCTCCGAAACTTCAAAAAATGGTCAAAGGTGGAGTCTTTGCGTGTTGGTGGAAAAAATAAATCAAGCACTAAAAGTGATTATCTGAAACCAGCAGGAGCCCCGAAAAAGAAGCTCATAGAATTCACGAAACTAAGAAATGGAGCTGAAACTGAAGTGGCTTTTGGATGATATCCGAACATTTATGTAAATCAGGAAACTGTGAAAAAGCTTTGTGAAAAATATCGAAGATAAGAAGAAAGAAATAATCCAGAGAACAATTAAGTGATCATATTTTGGGATGCTTTAATTAATCTTATGTATATGCATGTATGCACGTGTGCTAGTTCAATTTTAATATATTGAACGCTTGTGTGCAATTATTATATTCAAAATGAATGATTGAATTAAAAGAGCTTCATCGTGTTTGAGTTTATTAACATGCATTTTTGATCAACTTAAGTATTACGATTAATAATTTTACAATCACCCTGTAAGCTCGGTAAGTGCTGATGCTGTGACTGTGGTAATAGACGAGCACGCATTCAAAAACATGAAGGACGCTAGTTCCAGCTCTTCTAAATTTGTGCTCTAGGCCAGGCGTTTTTCATATATGGCTTGTAATATCTACAAGCTAGGAAACTAGGCGTAAGTCTTCGGATATAACGCCTCATTGCCAAAAGTCGATGTTAGTGCTGAACACAAAAGATGCCGATGAATTTTTTCAAATATTACAGCAGCTGATAAATGTTTAAGTGATATTGAAGATGCAATAAATTCGGATTTAAGAAATCCTCAGAAATATGGCTTTTCGCAAAAAAACTGAGCTTAAACCTGAAAAAAAAACTGAATCTCAAATTATTGCAACAAAACAGAACGGCTAAAAAAAGCTTCAGCTCAACAAATAAAAATTCATATTCAAAAAAATCCAATAAAACAGGTTTTTCAATCCAAAACCTAAGACGTTACTGGTGATGAAAATCTGTGTTGGAAGAATATATTTATAATAACAAGGGGGAATTTCGTTTTAGACCAATCAGCAAGTTTGTTTGCATTTTCAGTAACCCAATCTGAATACATAAGTTTTTATAAAAGGTACAATGTATGCCAATATGCATTCTAGTGATGGGTAGCGATTTTTCTTTTAAAACTTGAAAGTGCACGATTTACTTTTTCTAGTATTTTTTGGCAGGGATTTCCAAATGGAAGCTCTATCATAATTTATAAAACCCTTATATTTAACAGTTATTCTGCGAACTCGAGTCGTATATGAGCTGATAGCTATCGGCCATATACGACGAGAGTGAGCAGAATAACTGTTTTATTATATACACAAACTTTGTCGCCCTTTCGGTGCATTTTGGTCTGCTATTATCAACTAGGCTTGGATTTCTATTTCACTCAACTCCCCAAATCTTTCCGCCATTTTGTTTACTTTCTCTACTACAGACAGATATGAGCTAATATCTGTCTAGTAGCCAACCAATGAAATTGCAGCATATACCTCATATCTGGCGCTTGTGTATATAATAATTTATAATATTTGCATGCTCTTGTTCCCTATTGTTCTATTTGTAATCATCTTATTGTAGTTTTACACGCCCATTGTGGAAACCAGCTATAGCTGACAATGTTAGTGTGGTTAAATAAAGTTTATCATCATCATTTGATTTACAAAAAGGCAGGCGTCAACAAGACAACAAGACAAATATCTTGAAACAGTTAATTGTCTTTTTTTTCTCGAGCACCACCTATTCTTACTAGTTCCGCGAAGAATCCATTCTTCCTGTCAAGCAGAACGTCTTGCTTATCGAATTCAACAATGGATCCTTGGTCGAACACCATAATCTTGTCGCACCTCTTAGTCGTGTCGATACGATGAGAGATAATTATCATTGTGCAATCCTTGAACAAGCTATAAATGACGTTCTGGATTTGTTCCGCGGTCTTTTTGCCCACTTTGCCAGCAGCTTCATCAAAAATAATAATCTTGTTGCGCTTTAACAAAACTCTTGCGAGATGGATAAGCTGTCGTTGGCCAATACTAAAATTTGAACCACCACCAGCGCATACATTTTCCAACTTATTTGGTAAACCACTTACAAGAGGACCCAATTGCATCTGATCCAAAACATTCCATATTTCGGAGTCATCGTGGTTCCCTGTTGGATCAAGGTTTTCTCTTAAAGAACCGTTAAAAAGGACTGGAGACTGTGAAATAACAGAAATACGTTGTCGGGTTGATCGGGGATTAAAATGTGCGATATCCAAATTATCTACAATAATACTTCCTTCCGTTTCTGCGATTCTCATCAGAGCTGCGACCAAAGAAGATTTACCGGCACCAGTTCTGCCAACAATGCCAATCTTTTCGGAACCTTTAATTTCGAATGATAAATCTTTTAAAGCTTTGGGTCCTTTTTCATAATATCTTAGAGAAACATTCTTGAACTCTATTCCTCCGAATTGTGGCCAATCTTCAGGTGGTTCGTCGCTGATTTCGCTTCCCCGTTCTGGTTTGATTTCTGTATACGCAAGAATTCTCTCAGCAGAGGTCATCTGTGCTTGGACTTCGACAGCACTACGAAGAGCTTCTCCAACGTATATAATACTGTGAAATGAATACAGAATAGCCACCGATGCAACAGCTAAAATATGTGTGGAAAAGTCTTTCTCAATTCCATGATTAAAATTGAAACAAGAACAACATTAAAACTTACGAAATTGATAGTACTAATTTTTTTTTTTAGTTATACTACTCGGTCTCATATTTACTATATTATTTATGTTAATAATTTATGTAAAACCATATGTACAAGTCCCCTACATAATTGCTCAGACGTATCAGTATTTTTACAAAATAAACTCTTCATTCAACTATTTTTAAATGCTTCCTACGATACGACATAAGCAAACAGTAAAATTATTGTAATAAAGAAACAGAGACTGAAATTGTATTACATTCGTCACTCGAAACAACAGGTAAGTTTATTTTTAACCATCGGTTCAGTAACGCTGCTGTGTATTTTATTTTTAACAGTGTATAACTAAAAGAATCCTATCAATTTTACCATTTCAATGGTAAAAATTATTTTAAAAATAAATTATTTTTCAAAAAACTTACCTGCAGTTGTAGAATCCTTCACAGAATATAACTCAGAAGTTACGATAATAATCATGAAAAGATGGAGAATAGTATCGATCATCAGTACGAACCAACGCGCTGAAGCGTAATAAGCAAACATAGCTTTGTGGTGGTTGTCAACGTGACTAAAATAAATTTAAAAATATAAATGTCATGCATAGCTGAAAAATTACATACTGCGTATGCGTGATTTTTGGTGGATAGCACAGTGTAGATACCAATAAATTAATTTATTAAAATAACAAAAAATATGGCCAATATTAAATAAATGTGAAAGGTGTGTGAAACTACCTTCTTTATGCGGATAAGTTTAGTGATAAATGCTACGGAATACGAGTCCACATACAAGACTACAAAATCAGCAACCTCGGTCCCAGGGCCTTTTAGAACTTTACGAGAAAGAAGATGAAAGGCTCTTGGATCGGCCGTTATTTTATGCATTCAAGCATAATATAATTTTCAAAATGGCGGCAAAAATAACTGTACATGCAGCGGGGTATAAAAATAAGTAACACGAAGCTTTTCCAATCTACTACTAATTAATTAATTACCTCAATAAAACCTTTGTGAATTCTTGTTGTCTTTTGTGAACACGAATAATCCTCAGTCCCTCCAGAGTGTTCGAAAAATGGGAATACAGCGGACCTCCTGCTTCCGACATTAGACGTTTTATGTCCATTGCTGGTTTGAAGAAAAATCTTGACGCTTTAAAACATATCAAGAATATCGGTAAAAAAGCCAGCGTTAAAAAAACGTTGGCCGCAATGCACAAGCATACAGCAGTCAGTGTCAGGATCGTGCATTGAAATAGGTACGAAAAATTATACGGTAGAAGATCGTCCAAGTTATTGATGTCCTGTGAAAATCTGTTGAGGATACGTCCTACTGGATTCACGGCAAAAAAATCAGTTGGTGCTCGTAGAAGGCAAGTTGTCATCTTGTTATGGATGTTGTAGTTTGCACGGATCGGTAGAAGGAAAGTAAAAGATACTTCAAGCATAGTGATTAGAAGGGCAGCTGTTACATATATGGGATACATAGTCAACATTCTGTGTAACTTTTCTTTCTGTTCCATTATAATCGGCAATGATGAAACTTGAATATCTATCCACGTCGTTAAACCTGGTGATAAAATATGTTTAAATTCTAATATTTACAAAAACTGCAGAAGTTTTATTTCCATTGAAACATCCAGGTGATCTGAGTCGGAAATTTTAGCCAATCAGATCAAAATCTGGTCAGATAGAAATCCATACCGAGCTGCCTCGCGCGCTTTAAAAACAAGCAGTGGAGGGTTAAAATATAGCTGAAGTTTGTTGGTTTTTAATGTTTTATAACAAATTTTAAGCTTCCTGGCGATTATTTGTTATCGTTTGACACTTTAAATCATAATAAACGGAAAGTCTTTTTCCTCAAGAGCTGACGAAATCGCGTTACTGCTTGGCCAGTCGAGGAAAGTTTCGATTGTGTTTTATTTTTGTGCAGCTAAAGCACTTTGTCTTTGTATTTTCTCAAGTATCAGTTGTAGCGAAGCCGGGTCAAAAGGGACAAGTCTTTTAAGTGTGAAAATAAATTTTGGCTGGGCCTGCCACGGAAAGTTGTTTTAAATCTGAGACCCGAACAGACTTTTGTATAAAAGTCAGGGAAGAATTAGAATTGGAAATATTTATTAAAATAACAAAAAATATGGCCAATATTAAATAAATGTAAAAGTGTGTGAAACTACCTTTTTTATGCGGATAAGTTTAGTTATCTTTTTGCCTGTTTTGGCGATAAATGCTACGGAATACGAGTCCAAATACAAGACTACAAAATCAGATTCCCGTAAAAACCCAACAAATGAAACAATTGCTTCTCTAGTCTATTTTTTGTCCTCAGTGAAGTTCTATGAAAAGCAAATATGTCTTATTCCATCAATCTTTCATCGTAATAAACAAAAATGCTAAAACAACGCCTGAAATAATCAAATCCGTCATTCCTTGCTGTTTTCGCTGGAATTCGCTGTGCAAATTTAATAACAAACGCCAGCAATGGTCTCTGGCGTGGATTTCTATTTGCTTGCAAAATAATGCTTTCCGAGCTCAGCACGAGATCACATGGATGTCAAAAGAATAAAAGGAAAATACGTTTGACGAAAATAGATCTGAAAAAATTGTGTAGTTTTCCTACCACGTACTGGAAATCGTTTACACGTTTCAAGTGCATGTGAATGGAAAGAGTTTTGGTAAGTTATTTTGGTAATATTTGGTAATATTTGCTAATATACACAAAAAGCACCTTCGCTTACGGATTTAATTAAAGCCGTAATTGGGGAAATGAAAGAGGGTTAGGGAATTATATATATGGGTCAGGAATATATATATATATATATATATATTATAATATATAATATATATATAATATATTATATATATTTATAATATATATAATATATAATATATTAGCTTAGCTACTCGGAGTTTCACGCTATAAAGCGATCATCAGGCTAATGGCAGGTCTGGTTGCTATTCTCTATATTTACATCGTGATATAAGGTGTCGAATTACGTGTCTACATTTCGTAAAGAGTTCAGAGCGTTTGTTCAGCAGTGTTCTAGTTTTGTCTTTCATGATATGGAGTTTCTCCTCAAGGCAGAGGTTGCATCTTCTTGAACCGGCTTTGTAGGCTGGGACAGTTTTCAGTAGGGACCATGAAATCGAAAAATCTTTCTTAGCTTCCTTCAGCTTCCATATGTGTTTCGACAGTTCCGTCTCCTTGGCATACTTCTTATTCGCGAAAGATTTTGCGTGATTTCGGTAGCGTGTCTCAGGAACTTGTGGTGGTGTTCGCTTCGATCTCAGGCCGTACGTTTCTTTTCTGGTCGTTTGCTGTTCTTCATCGTTTTGTAGGAAGAAGTGCGCTTTCCAGCGCATTCTATGGATGGCTGATTCCGTTTTATTAATAAGGTCCCGTTGGTATTCATCGTGTGAGGGAAGTCCGATATTTTTAAGAGAATAGTTAAACCGAATCTGTTGCATGTCTTCTGTATTAGAACCAATCCAAGTAGAATTCGACACCTTATATCACGATGTAAATATAGAGAATAGCAACCAGACCTGCCATTAGCCTGATGATCGCTTTATAGCGTGAAACTCCGAGTAGCTAAGCTAGTCTTTCAATAAATATATATTATCGCTCTGCCAGTAATGGTATTGAGCGCTCTCCAACCATTGTCAAGTTCTGTGATCTTTTTGTCACAGTCAATTATTTGGATATATATATATATATATATATATATATATATATATATATATATATATATATATATATATATATATATATATATATATATATATATATATGGGTCAGGAATTATTGCATGCAGACAGCTTTTTTTAAAAAACATATATTCCCGAATTGCCATGATGCCGTCTATAAAATTTGGTGATTTTATGTTCTTTTATACGAATTTCGTAGCCATCAGTTCTTAAAAATATGATTCAATATTAATTAACAATTAGTATTATATACCACTTGTCAAAGTTTGGTGTTCGGAGCATTTCATTGGTCGAGAGCGAATCACGCGAGAGTGACGAATTTTTGATGTCGCCAGCGCGACCCCCTGCGGAGTGAGATAACGTGGGATTATCTCATGGGAAATAACTTTAATCACGTGCGGCGCACCTGGACGTGCGACCTTTAGACTGTTTATCCATTTGAAATTATGTCTTTTATGAATAGATGTTTCGTTGTTTACCTTGTAGTTTGGTTTTTCTTTGACAAGTGGTATATAATAAAAAACTTATTTACTTAGAACTCAAAAAACATTATGTTTTGTGGCCCTCGACCATCGATATTTCACTCGGCTTCGCCTCGCCACAAAACATAACGTTTCCTTCGCAGTAAATCAGTGTTAATTAATTGAATATTAATAATCACCCAAACTCCACTGCATGTATTGCTGGTTTGAGTTTATATAAATGCATAGCTTATAGCGACATATCAGGTAAATCGGACTAAGTGGCACTGCTCATAAGCTGTAATGTTATCTCTTAGCAAACTCAATGCTCACCATACCTTGTCCTGCTCCAGCCACGAATAACATCAGTAGAAGCGTGACGCCTGAGGCTCCGTACAGGAAATACTTCGCATAAACTCCGAAGGAAACACTACCAACTTTGTGATCTTCTCCAGCCTCCCGTAATATTTCACTGTGTGCTAGATCATCATCTTTTTCCAAAGGCCGATCTTCGTCCTCAATTTCTTCATGCCAGTGATCTTTTACACCAGCAATATCAATCCCTGGCGTCTTTGTGATTTCATGCACTGTTCCTTGGGCGATAATCGTACCTGCATAAATATATATTACAGCAGGCTAGCTAATTTTTAAGTTATTATACAAATTGACATCTTTGAGATTTTGATGCATCGCTCAAATGATGATCATGATGTGATCAGATTTTCCTAATTGGGATAAAAAATTTTAACTCGTTTTAAAAAAATATTTAATTTAAATATTAAAAACGATAAGCCAGGTACTGAAAATTAACATGAGGTTATGCAAGGTTAAGAAGGTATTGTTAGGTTCTTATTTTGGCTAGCAAGGTGGAATAGAAAAGCAATGCAGTAATCATAAAGCAAAACAAAAAGTTTATTATTCTGGACTTCATCACACAAGAACTTCGCATCCTTAAAGTGCCCCTGACACAAAATTCCATTTTTGCACCATAGAAAGTAAGCACCATAGTTGTCGGCCGCAGGATCCAATTTTTATACCAGCTATTAAGGTTAGGGTTAAATAAACCCTCAATTTTGAGGCTTTCAAACGGCTCTAAAATTGCGACGTTTTGAAATCAAAAAATTCTTTCATCGAAATACTCGGACACATGAGTCCTTTCCACAGTGTAAAAATCGCATTTTGTGTCACGAGCACTTTAAATGGGTTGTCGAAATATATTGTACACGAGGCTTTAATAAGCTGAACGTTATAACTGAAAACCGATATTTAAACCATTTTTTAGACGTTAGCCGGTGCAAACGATGGCGAGCTAATGCCTCCATAAGCCAACGAAATTTTTAGAAGCCTATATTGGGGACTGAGCTCGGGAATGCTAGTGAGTGCAAATTAATTTTGTCTTGTCCAGACATCTTACACTGAGCATAATTTCATTTTTTTTATTGGAGACAGCGAATAGCAGCATTCCGAACGAAAAATGATTGAACTAATTTATCGGGTCGTACCGCCTAACGTTTGGGTACGGACCATTGTAATTTCGTCAAAAATCTAATCCTTCTTTAATTCACTTGAGCCAATCATACTGAAAAGATTTTGAATAATTCCAGAAGCCGACTCATCAATGCGTATAAAATGGGGGTTGTGCGGTTAGGTTAATAGATTAATTAATCCAGACACTATAAATAACTCTCCGCTAAGCGCATTGATTGATGCGAACGTACAAACTTTAAATTTCCCTCCCTGTTAATCAACTTTTACCTTTATCCATTTTTACGATGTAGTCTGCTTCACTTAAGTATTTCTGCGTAACTAAGAGTACAATTTTCTCGGATAGGATTCCGTTAAGAACACTTTTTAAAATTTTTTCAGCGACTTTGGCATCTAAAGAACTCAATGGATCGTCCAGTAGGTATATATCCGCCTGCGCGTAAACAGCACGTGCCAATGCAATACGTGTGCGTTGTCCTCCGCTTAGAGTCGCACCGCTTTCTCCGACAACAGACAAATCGTGTGCCGGCAGTCTCATAAAATCATCTTCTAACTGGCAAGCTCTAACAGTCTCGTAGTACCACCCTTCGTTATATTTTGAACCGAACAAAATGTTCTCACGAATGGTACCTGAAGATACCCAAGGTTTATCGGAAACATAGGCAATACTTCCGGAACGTTTTAAAAAACCGCTGGTTATAGGAAGTTCTTCATCAAGAATGCTAGCTAACAGCGAAGATTTCCCACTGCCTACAGGACCAGTTATAATAATCAATCCTTCTGATGATACTTCAAGAGAAATATTGCTTAACAGTGACACGGTACCATTACAATTTGCCTTTTCGGCTCCAGGGAGATTACTTGACAAATTGTTTAACGAAATGTAAGGCGTAGCGTTTGTAATGTTTGTTGTGTCAATCGTCCTTTCAGCTAAATCTTCGGTCCTTTTCGAAACGTTAATCTGATTAAATCGATTCGTAGTTATTGCGGCATGCGTCATCTCACAGCGTTCAAAGAAACCTTGTATCCGAGAAAGAGCAGTCATTATATCCGTAGTGAAATGAATTCCGAGTGGCGTGGCCTTAAGAAGAGTGTTACTCAGGCCTAAAAACAACATCATCATTGTGAATACTGTGTTAAATGTAATCATTGAGCTGTCGGTGAATAGGAGAATTATGATTGTGAAGAATGTTGCAACTTGTTGTCCACACATGTTAAAGGTAAAACTGATGGACAAAATGAACCAGCGCTTTGCTTTGGATTTGATTTCTTCCCTAAGTAAATACAAAGAATAAACACTGAGAATCCAAAGTTACCCATGCAACTGATTGGTCGGGCAATCTCTGATTTCACGCGTTAATGATAACAAAAATTAGAACTCACCATCTCGTTAGTTTAATCTTACTCTCATGGATGTATTCAAAACAATTGAGCCTCGTGGAAATAACGCTGGTAAGAAATTCCTGTAGGTATCCAAGACGTCTTTCTGCAACGTCTGAAGCATTTTGCCGTAATCTCACGTCGATATCCGTAACTAAAACACGCAATGCTGTGAGGAGGACAAATACAAAAAGGCCCGGAATGACTTTCCAACCAAGATACATTGACAGCCAACAGGTGTATATAAAAGCTATAATCAACTTTCGAATCATGTATGGTAAAGATCTATCTGCCATCATGACCAAACGTTGGGTGTCGTTACATATCAATTCCATCACTTCCCCTACAGATATCATTGTCTTACTACATTTCAACACCTGCAAGGATATAAAAATCCATATATCTGTCTCCAGCCCCGATCAAATCTTCATCAGCTTGCATAACAGGATATCGCAATGTTCGCACTGTTCATGCACTGTTCGAAATTTTAAGCCCTGATTTGTCCTCTAATTAAGTTTCATTCATGACAGACGGTGACAATCTAAGTTTCTAGGCTCTAACTAATATGAAGGACTCTAATTATACATGTTTACTGCAAGTTATATATTGACCCACATTTCAAAATTTGTCTTACCTTTTGATAGATCAAACCTACGACAGCCCCTCTGGCTTTTATTCCTAGGACTGGTGTGACCAAATTGAAGTGTCGTGTGCCATATATCTCAACTAAAGCACCAACAATCATCCCCCATAAGTAAGCAAGAGAGCTTTTACCGGATGGCATGTCATGCGCGAAAGTACTACTTCTCAACATAAATATAAGTTTTAAAACAAAGTACCGATAAAAAATATCTCCTCCAATGCAGCAAAGACCAAGAAAGCATAAAATTCCATATTCGTTCCATGTATAGAATTTCAGCATCGCTTTCCAAAGTTTTGGTTTCCTATTCTCTCGTTTTGCTGAACTCATCTCATTTGCCCAAACCTTTCCCAAGCGCTTGACTTGATACTGAGCGCGGTAATTCTCCTTTAAGGGATCAAGATTGTCATGATTCAGGGGAATTTTGTTTCCTACCCACAACAGATCAAAAATCCACCAAAGCGTTAACTTAGAGATGAAGTTCGCTTTGTCTTGAGGGTGAGATTTAAAGCTCATTGTTCGCTTTTCCACCTAAAAATGAAAGCATGCAATTTACTGTAGTGGTCAAATGTTCACATATACTGTATTTTGTTTGCTGTATTTGATGTGGAAGGAATCTGTAGCAAATCTCATAAAACAATAGAAACAACAAAGTTAAGTTAACACAACGATTGTTGACTAACTTTAGTGAGAAATTTCATGGAAAAATTTGGCATTAGACTAAGTTGAACGTTTACACACATGCAATTGGCAGTGGCGTAGCCAGCAACGATAATTGGGGGGGGGCGAATATTCATATATTCATGTTAACAGACTGTAAAGACAATTGATTTGAAAAGAAATTAATCCTGCGTATCACGAATATATGAATATGTGCCCCCCCATTTATCGTGCTGGCTACGCCACTGGCAATTGGCATGATCAAGAAGCTTTTCCTAAACTCTCATCCTGTTTTTATTAAGACTGAAAACATAGGCAATGATTTTGTTTACGGCATCATTGCATGACGTAGCTTGCATGGCAGGCGGTCCCTGAATTCGGGTAGGGCGACGCTGGGTTTGTATTTTATTGATTGCGAGTCTAATCGGCTGTCAATCAAAAGTAAATATTTAACGCCTTCAAAGAATTTTGTCATTTTCAAAATTCATATTTTCTTCGGCCAATTTTGCCAAATTTTGTAAAATTCTGCAAAAATTTTGTTAAAAAGCTAAATTATGTGGACTTCGCCTGTAATTTCTATCAAAAATCCCTTTTTGTCTACCTCCGGGCGGAGATTTGAAGCCAAATTTTGGGCTCATGCCCAGTCTTTTCACGCAACTAAACACGCGGTTTTTTAAAACTTCAAAAATAATACTTCAACATGCAAGCACTAAAAACATCTTTTAGAGAACATAAAGTGCGTTTTGCACAGTATTTTTACGATAAAAGCATCCGTGAGAACTACAGAGTAAAGTATACTAAATTTATCTGTATCAAACTCGCAATTAAATGCCCTTTCTTATGAAAAACGTTGAACGAGGAGTGAAGCCGGGACAATTCAAAAGTGTTTGTGTGAATTCACTTATTTAATTTCATTGTTTATCATTTAATTCCTCTGAAACTTACGAAAAAACATTCTAACAATATTTATTTAACAACAAACTACAGCTAAATTTTCTTTTTTATATGTTTTATGAGCACATAACAGCAAAATATATATTTTTTGTTTTGTTGCCTGCAAACCTTTTTGAAGTAGTGATCGTTTTCGAACAAACTGTTTACATTTTCCTTATAATTTTACCACGCCGCGGTTCGAGGTATGCTTTAATCAGCATTGATTACAAAATTATAGCCTAAATCGTTAAAATAAACGATAAATCCGAACGAATGTAACTTCGCCGCTTTAAATACTTTTTTTATTAATACAAGGCGACAAAATATAAAGGCGATGAATAATCACTTGATCAATTTGCCACCAAAACTTGTTAGTGTATCATGTTTTGAGAATGAGCTTTATTTCGACATCTGAGCGAAATGAACCGCCCATCGTGGTTAGTGACAATGAACCACCCATTGTGGTGAGGGACAATGAACCACCCATCGTGGTGAGTGACAATGAGCCACCCATCGTGGTTAGTGACAATGAACCACCCATCGTGGTGAGTGACAATAAACCGCCCATTGTGGTCAGTGGACCTTCCATTGTGGCTGACTCAATGGTCACAACAAATGATGGGGAAGTAATTAGTGTAATTGACTACAAACAAGAACTGCAAGGGCTTGTTATCATTCATGAGGACATTCCCTCTCATTATAATATGTTCTTTGATAAAGCATATGGAGTGTTTCTATCTGTTTGATTCTCATGCACATAATTGTTTTGGTTTGTCCAATCCTAATGCTATGCCTCTTTCTGAGGCATAGCATTCTAATTTGTTTGAAATTGTGCCTGTTCAGTTTACAGAACCTCTTAATTGCACCTCAACCAAAACTGGGAATTTTATCTAGAGTGTAAGGCTTCGAAAAAAAAGAGAATTACAAAAAGCTAAATATTCAAAGGAAAATGATCATGAGAGGAAAATAGACTCCAAAATATGAGGGAGTATATAAGCAAACCATAGTGTAATGAAACTGACTTGGCTTGACAATATAGACTTAATAGTGCAAATGTAAAAGCCTTGGTAGACATAGTTCCCCAAGACATTTGTCTTTCAGATGTTTTCTTCAGATGACTTGTCCGATGCACTTCTGTGAATCCCTGATGTCAATCCAAGATAATATACAACTCAATGGCAAAAAAGTTGATTTATATCGCTAAAATTGATGTTTAAAAATGCATTTGACATTTTCTATCACAGTTGACAGTCCCCATTATCATATTAGAGATGTTCTAGTTTTGTTTTTTTGTTAAAAGTGTACCCTTTTATAGATGGTATTGACATGTAACATTAAATAACTATTTATGGCACATGCTGCTGTGCTGCTAAAATTGACATTTAAATTTGAAAGTGCATTTGACATTTTGTACTATTATGTTGACATTCTTCTTTTAATATAAATTGATCTTACTTTTATTTTAAAAGCATGTAAATCTTCTTCGTATAAATAATATACCAGTTGAGAAAACATAATGTAAACCCCTTCCCTCAATAAGTCAATAACAAACACTTATGTATTGCATACATAGTGTGTTACTATTAATGCCTTAATAATTATTAAAAAGTTATTATCAGTATTAATTGCTTGTTACTATTATGATGTAAATATTTCAGACTTCATCAAATAAGTGTAAGTAGTAAGTTTTGATGTGTTGTAAGTTTATCTATTTAGACTTAATCACTGATATCACTTGTAAATAAAGTTTTTCAAGCTAATATAATTATAGTTGTTTTCCCAAGGCAGCAATTTCCTTGCGATAGTAACTCCTAGTTTTATTCGATTGAGTTTGTAGTAAGACTTTATTCAATTTTATATCGACAATTCACAATTTACCTTGCGTAGGTCATCGTTATCACGGTCTCTCAATCCGGTTCTGTATTTATTTGTTAGATTGTCGCAAGCCCAATCACACTTTCGGCTCAAAATCCACTTTGAAAATCAAAGTCCAAATAGCATTGAGATATACGACACTCATATGGGCATCGGTGTAATTATGACTGGTCCATATGGTTGGTTAGCAAAGAACCACTGTGAAGTTAGCCGCGGATTCGGCCTCAGATTCGGCCTCAGATTGGGCCTCAGATTGGGCCTCACATTCAACTGTGTTCAATCATTCAAAAGTAGAATTTGGTCATTTAATAATAACAGGTTTTTTAGCCATTTTTTCGTTTAAACTTTAAAATTACGAAGATGTATAGCTTATTTATGCATTGCTAGACTGTAATTAGAACAAAGCAGTCGATTTTATACAGATTTACAGAGTAAATTGATTATTATTTTTGGGCACTGTGTGAGAAGTGATTGACCCGCATAGATATGGCATACACTATAATGTTTTATTTCAATTCCTGTGTATACGTCTATATTTTACAGAAAAATACGGCCTTACAAATGGCGTGCATCGTTGGGCTGCACAGTCACAACATACTCGGGATTATTTGCTTCCTTTCTCAAATTAAAAATGTCCTTATGATATAAATACAAAAGACTTAACTAGTATATGATCCTCTCACCGACGCTATCAATGTTACAATTTGCCAAAGTCATTTGCTACAACAAGAATTAGCGTAGATGTGCATACAAATCAAACGTACTATTGCCATATGACAAACAATGGTCCAACGAGGTTAGGATTACAAGTTAAACTCGGCGCAACTTTCACACGCATATATAGATCGTTTCAAACGTTATTTAGAACAGTATTTTCCCATCTATCCAAAAGTACACATCAGTTGAAGACGCAGACGTTACACGCTGAATGTTTCAGGGCAACAGCAACGACTCATTGCAAAAACATCTTACAATATTACATGGTGTTGACATATATACCCACGTTATCATCCTAATTGTGCAATTTAAATTTATGCATTTCATACAAAATGCATGCCTATTCCATCCACTGCATTGAAGTTAAAACTTCTGTTTATATGAAGGTATGATTTCATTGTTCTACAAAATAATACAATGTGCTGTGCCGTGTTTTGATGCAGTTTGTAGCGCAGACGATGGAACCTGCGCTTAGGCATTAAGGGATTACTCAGAAGACAGAAGGTTGACGTGCTATTAAAATAAAGCAATTAAAACAGTGATGACATGTAAAATAGACGCACTTAAGCGAACAAAATGCGAAAGAAAGATGATCTCATTGCCTGCTTAATTAAAAGACACATTTATTCAAGAGGATTAGACACATTAGAGATTAGACAATTATAATATTAGTTATGGTATCAAACTGAATATATAGCCAAAGATGCTCAAAATTTAACTGAAAGGTTTAATGAAGCAAAAAATCTACGTAAAAGATATATAAGATGCCATTATGCTAATCAAGAACAAGTTACAATCATAGAGGATGGTTTCTTATTAACTGTCCATACAAATGTTCTCAAATTTTAGTATTCAGTACATTACTGTATGATCTTTCTCATGACACCAACGTTTTTGCGGTAAAAAGAAAAAAAACGGGCGTTTTTGCGATACATTCCACTTCGATTTCTGACGTATTATTGCGTAATAACCAGATGACAGAAAAACTCAATTATTGTAATTCTGAAACATAAGTTGTAAAATGAAATATAATTTCCGATGGATAAATGAATGTCAAGACAGAATGAAGCAAAAATCTATGTAAGAGATATATAAGGGGCTATTATACGAAAATCAAGATCAGGTTACAATTGAGAAAAGTACTTAATATTTAGAGGATGGTTTCTTATTAACTGTCCATACAAATGTTCTCAAATTTCAGTATTCAGTACATTACTGTACGATCTCTCTAATGACACCAACGTTTTTGCGGTAACAAGAAAAAACGGGCGTTTTTGCGATACATTCGACTTCCATTTTTGAAGTATTATTGCGTAATAATAAGAGCGCAGAAAAACTAAACTATT